TGGATTTTAACACTTCCATAAAATGTTTCATACCATATGACATCATATCTTTCATCATTGGTCCACTTATGCTCATAAAACCATCTTGATATTCAGCGACGGATTCGTGCTCCTCTTTGCTTTGACCCAACATATATGAGACAGCATGTAATTTTGCTAATTTTGTATATACGATTTTTATTTCATCTTCGGTCAAGTAACGTCCACGCAGGGTGTTATAACCCAATTCACATAGATCTTCCATAATAAGGATTTTATGGGGCTCCAAGGCGTGATAGAATAAACTGTAATGGAAAGGGGGAAACATTTACATGCATTACGTCATTTGAATAGTACTAGCCTAAAAGTATGCACTACACATAATTAAAAATATTTTTTCCCAATTAATTGTTTTTGTTTTCCATAGATAAAATAGAGGTTTTGGAGAGTGATAGAGCAAATTGAAATGGTAAGGTATATTGGACATAAATTGAAGAGTTTGCTTGATTTGAATATTGTTGGTCTAAAAGTATGCACTGCACATCAACTATTATTTTACGATTTTTGTTTTCTATAGATAATGACGGTTTTTATTATTTTCAGCAGACAGAAGAGAGGCAATTGCAGGTAATGCTTTCTGCTTTCTATAGGCTGAAGGACTTCTACTAAATTATAAAAATTAATCTTAAATAATAAATTGAGAAGGAGTCTGCCAATGTGGGTCTGGCAGTATACGGCGAGAAGTCCAAGCTGATGGTATCAACGCGCAAGTCGTCCAGTAGACTCGGACTATTTGTGGAACTTGAGAACTACAGCTTCGAGGAAGTCAACGATTTTATATACCTTGTCACCGTCATAAATAAAACTAATGGCATAAGTTTTGAAATTCGGAGAAAGTTAGTGATGGCCAACAGATGCTACTATGGTCTAAGTAACCAGTTTAGAAACATGGTCACCTCCCGCCAGATCAAACTCACACTCTACAAAACGCTGATACTACTCTTATTGTTATATGGATCTGAAGCATGGGTATTTACGCAAGCAGATGAGGACGATGCTTTGATGGTGAATATCGCCGGCTATTCTCGGACATCGGCATTGTTAAACGTATCGAGCTGCATCGAATGGATGAATGTTGTGAGAATGGATGAAGATGCCCCAGCCCAAAAGGCATATAAAAGCGAACCAGCTAATGGTTCACGTAGAAAGGGGGGCCACGAATTAGATGGAGTGATCAAGTGGAAGACAACATTACCGAACATGGTCTTTCAAATTGGAAATCTTTTTTAAGCTCGACTTATGGAACGAGGAGAAGTTTCGATTTAAAGATTTTTATTAAAGCCTCATGGTCTTATAAAGGAATATTGAAATACCTTATAAAGAAAACTGAAAGGTCTTCTTTAGAAGACGAAAACAATCCTCGAATGGAGTACTTACAGGTCCTCTAAAGGACGACTAAAAATCGCCTAAAGTAATTTACAGAATATGCAATTTATACTCATTTTCTTTTCTAAATAATTTGCCTAAAAGTTTGCATCACTCACTGAACCTTAATATATTCGGAGATAACCGTAGATGTAATCTATAGAAGGCGAAAAAATCCTCGAATGGAATACTCACAGGTCTCCTAAAGGACAACTGAAAATCGTCAAAGAGTAATTAACCGAATATTCAATTTATAGTCCTTCTCCTTCTTAAAAAACTCCTAAAAGTATGCATCACTCACTGTATCCCACTATACTCGATATTAATCATACATCCACTCTATAATCTTAATCACCTTCTGTTCTATTTCCATTCCATGATCTTGTCTTTGAATTGGTATTTACACATCGTCATGTATTTTCCACGCTTTGTATCACACACAACAATTAATAAATAAATATATATTGAAATTGTGGTTTGTCTTACCTTGCCGATAGTTTTGTTGGTTCACCACATTCAGCTAAGATTTTCTCTAATTTCCGTAATGTCTCCGAATACATTTTAATTTCGGTTTCAAATAATTTTGAATCCATTAGTAGTTCACGTTTTTTACTATCCTCTTCGACGGGTAATGTTTTCAGAATTAGAGAGCGTTTTTTCAGGCTTCCACTCAGGCGATATTCCACTTTACAACGAAACATAATACTGGCATAATGATCACCCTTCATGCTGGCCGGACTCATTTCGTAAGTAATTAACTGGAAATGAAAGGTTGAATTTTAGGAAATAAAAAATATTTTTAACAGCAATTTCAATATCTAATTTCCTGGAAGGTGACAAAATTCCCCTGTAGACGCTTAAAAATGTGTATTCAATTTCTAATTGTTTATATTTACTTTTTTTATAGTTCCATTAGTCCAACTTACCTCCAGATCGTTGACCTTTTCGTATTTTGCCAAAACCATTTGTAAAAAATTTCGATCTATCCATGCGGGGGGTGTCAATTCATCTTCGTTGTATAAACTCATTGTGAGATGGCGTCTATTAATATTTATTGTCTCGCCCAAGAGATGTTGTCACATAGAAATGAAAATAGTAAATAGAAAATTATTATTCTATATTCTGACTGAACCTAACAAACTAGTCGTCTGAGTGGCACACGTCTTCGCTCGATAGTAGCTATATAAGCTATATAAAAAAACAAAACAAATGTTTATCAATTTGATTACACCGATTGCCGAACAGTGCTACGATCCAACGAACGAACAACGAAACTAAATTGATGCTTATTCTACTACACGTTACAAACGAATGGGTTCAGCAATTGAATTGTTTTTTGTTTATACGCCGTTCTAAATTAAAATGAGATAACTCATGATACAAATATTTGTTGGGTACAATAAAAAAATAAATGTAAATACAGTCGAATTCGCTTATAGACATGGTGAATTCATCATGCGATATAAGCAATATTAAAAAATGGCAACCTTTTTTTACACTTATGGGTGTAAACGATTCCGACATGTTACACCATGCTAAGCCAAATATAGATGTTTTTTTTTTTATTTAAAAAAGACTTAATCATATTTGTCATGTAACAAGCATTTCTAAGTTTACGCTTCGTTTAGTATAATAATAACTAATAAATTATAATAAATAGCTAGTCAACTCTTAATGAAAAAAATACACTGAGAAAATAATTGTGAACTGGTAGTAATATCGTTAAGTCCTGCGGGACCGACATTTTTTGATTTGCCTATATTGAAATTTTTTCGATACTTTCCTCCCTCCCAGAACTCGTAATGCTAAAATTGCAACCACTTCAAGTGATGTGCATTAAAAATTCCTTAAATCAGTCGGGATCTTTATATGAGGGCGAGAGTCATTGAGTCATCATAGGGATTTTGTTAAAACATGGACCCATACCGAAACCTATAATGCCAAATTACAGTCACTTCGTTAAGAAAATGTGATTTTACCTTCTAAAATGGGGCGGAACCTTTCAATGAGGGCTTCAAAAATCATAGGCCTATATCGAAAATTTTCTGCGAAGATACTTTTCAATGATTTTCACCTTCTCAGAGCCCGAAATGCCATTCAAAATTTCTTAAACCAGTCGAGATAATTGTTTATGTACTGAGAATAATACCAAAGACTCTGATCAAGAATTACAATTTACCGAAAATGTTGCAGGATTTTTGCATGGGGATTAAGGTTAAAACCTTCAAATAACTTTTATATAGGGGTTTTATAAAAAAGTGGACCCATATAGAAAAATATTTGTTGTATCTTTCAAAACCTGGAATGCCAATTTAACTTTCAAATACTAAAAATAGGGCGTAAACTTTATATGAGGGCTTCTAAAAAATAATGGACCTGTATAGAAAATGTGCGAAGAATTTTTTTGGATGCTTTTCTCTCTCTCGCAGAACATGAAATGCCAAAGTTGCAAACACTTCATTGGGCTGCTACCTTCAAAATACCGAAATTGATGCGGGGTTATGAAAAAATTGATATCGGGGTTATGACAAAGCGAAGACCTATATCTATACCCACTAATAACGTAGAATGCCAAATCACATATTGTCATATTTTCAGCAAATCTAGATCACGTCCGAAAATGGAACCCATCGATCCACACAGTTACCTCCTCACAAAGGGTGAAGATTTTTTGAACTTATTACTCTTCGTCAGGACCATAAAAACCCTTTAAAATTGAGTGGATCCTTTATATGGGGGGATCATTTTTCTGATCATACACATTGAAAATTTCCTCAAAAATGTTTATCAACCTCGAAGAAACCGAAATGCTAATTTACAGCCACTTCGATCTTTATATAGACAATGCCCGGAAATCAAAATTACAGCCACTTTGGTGTAAAAATTCGTCAGTAAAAAAACGGAATAATACTATTTTGTCCTTTATACCATCCTTTTAAAATCACATCTGGTGGGATCAATTGGTACAAACTAACCCTAAAATCAGTTTTCCAATTTTTTAACGTTTAGGCTGATTTTCGAGTTTTGGTACATTCTGATGTTTATAGTAAAACGTTATGGCGAACATTTTTGTAGAATATTCGGACCTGTTACAATCCCATTTTGATTGAGTTTTCAATCATTTCTGGAAAAGGGGACAGCGCCCGCCTGAGTATTTTATTCGGTTCAAGAAGAAGAATAACTTATAGGGTCCGGAGAATATTTCGATGTGTCCAAAAAGGCGGAGTATATAAAAAATGGATGGGGAATAGTGAATCTGGTTTTGTCTAAATTGGAAACATACAAATATTAATTCGAAACATAGATTTATTTCAAATATAAGTTATATTACTACATTTCCTCTGTTTCATATCCCCCACAAACCATCACAAATTTGAGAAATCATAATCTTACATATGCCATCGGATGAGGATATGTATTTGGTATATTCCCAACTAATTTAAAATCGCACAAATAATCGATATAATACGTATATCCGAATGTGGTGAAATTCAAACGTCTGTTCCATCCGCTTTATTGTTTACATTAATATTTAATTTGATTATTTAGTAATAACGGTATTTTAAAATGTATATTTTTATCATTTTCCTTAAAAGCTAATCCAGATAACCTTCCCTCAATAAAATCGGCAACAATTTGCGATATTCTTCAACAACAACCGGAAGATCATATAATTGGACTTTGGCTGCTGGATCTTCCAACAATTTTGCCAAATCAATAGTATGTTGTTCTTCGGCTGGGATCCCTGCAATAACCTGCACCATTGGTAGGAATGAAGCAATCAAAAATAGAACTAGAGAAAAACAAGAGAAACACAAAAATATAAATCGTCTTCAAAGAAGTACTTCACAAAAATAAACCTGCACTTACCAAAATGGCGATATTTCAAATTGGCAATTTGGAAATCCGAATACAATGGCAATTCGCCTTTGAATTGTATTTTCTTTAATATCCTTAGAAATTCTTCGAAATAATACAGCATATATTCATTGCGTTCCATACGCATTTCCGAACTCATCATCATTATTTGGGAATACAACAAATCAATATTCGCCGGGGCATAACAGCTACCTTGGAAATCCACCATAATCAAATCTGCCATTTGATTCTTTTTATTGAATTTAAACATCATATTTTTCAAATGAAAATCGCCATGTATTATAACGAAAATATCGCCCACACCCTTATTGAGCGTATACGAACGATACAGTTCTTTACACTTGCGGTCTAAGTCACTTTTCATGGCAGAGATTTTCTCATAATATAACGCAAATTCTTCATGCTTTGAAAGCATTTCAATTAAATTATTAATACCATCTGAAATCATTTGATTTACCATCGGTAAGCTGGTACTTAAAAACCCCTCTTGATATTTTGTAACCATTTCGGATTCATCACTGTGTCCCAGCATAAAGGAGACAGCATGGAGGCGGGCGATTTTACGATAAACCGCTTTAATTTCTTCATCGGTGAGGAAACGATCACGAATTGTATTGTATCCTAATTCGCAAAGATCCTCGAAGATAATTACTTTATGCGGGTCGAGAGAATGATAAATGAGACTGGAAAGAGAGAGAGAGTGAGAGAAAAATTTGGTACATTAGAAAGTGATGCATACTTTTAGGTATAATATAAGAAAACCCGCTTAAATGTGAATGAAAATATATTCGTATATATCAGACTGTAAATAATTATTTCCTATTTACTTACTCTGCACACAATTTTGTTGCTTCACCACAATTTTTTCATGGCCTCATCATAAGGCGTGGATTTTTTAAAGAATATTTTTCATGGCCTCATCATAAGACGTGGATTTTTTAAAGAATATTTGTTCATGGCCTCATCATAAGGCGTGGATTTTTTAAAGAATATTTTTTCATGGCCTCATCATAAGGCGTGGATTTTTTAAAGAATATTTTTTCATGGCCTCATCATAAGGCGTGGATTTTTTAAAGAATATTTTTTCATGGCCTCATCATAAGGCGTGGATTTTTTAAAGAATATTTTTTCATGGCCTCATCATAAGGCGTGGATTTTTTAAAGAATATTTTTCATCGCCTCATCATAAGGCGTGGATTTTTTAAAGAATATTTTTTCATGGCCTCATCATAAGGCGTGGATTTTTTCATGGCCTCATCATAAGGCGTGGATTTTTTAAAGAATATTTTTTCATGGCCTCATTATATGGCGTGGATTTTTTTTTTTAAGGATTTTTAAAGAATTTTTTTTCATGGCCTCATCATAAGGCGTGGATTTTTAAAGAATTTTTTTTCATGGCCTCATCATAAGGCGTGGATTTTTAAAGAATTTTTTTCATGGCCTCATCATAAGGCGTGGATTTTTAAAGAATTTTTTTTCATGGCCTCATCATAAGGCGTGGATTTTTAAAGAATTTTTTTTTTTTTCATGGCCTCATCATAAGGCGTGGATTTTTAAAGAATTTTTTTTCATGGCCTCATCATAAGGCGTGGATTTTTAAAGAATTTTTTTTCATGGCCTCATCATAAGGCGTGGATTTTTAAAGAATTTTTTTTCATGGCCTCATCATAAGGCGTGGATTTTTTAAAGAATATTTTTTCATGGCCTCATCATAAGGCGTGGATTTTTTAAAAATATTTTTTCATGGCCTCATCATAAGGCGTGGATTTTTTAAAGAATATTTTTTCATGGCCTCATCATAAGGCGTGGATTTTTAAAGAATTTTTTTTCATGGCCTCATCATAAGGCGTGGATTTTTAAAGAATTTTTTTTCATGGCCTCATCATAAGGCGTGGATTTTTAAAGAATTTTTTTTCATGGCCTCATCATAAGGCGTGGATTTTTAAAGAATTTTTTTTCATGGCCTCATCATAAGGCGCTTCAATCCAGATAACCTTCTCTTAATAAAATTGGCATAAATCTGCGAATTTCTTGAACGAAATCAGGCGTGCGATATACCATCGACAGCATATCAGGATTTTCAAATTGTTTGTTGGTATCGACATTTTTCAATTCCTCAGCCGATTTGCCAATAAAAGAAACAATCAGGGGCAAGAAAGTGGACATTAAAAAGATTGCTATAGAAAAAACGAAATATTAATAAATATGTATTTTATAAATTCCATCAAAATTACTTACTAAAATGACGATATTTTAATCCCGAAATTTGAAAATCCGAATATAGTGGCAGCTCCCCTTGATATTTAATTTTCTTTAGAATCCTTATGAATTCCGTAAAATAATACTGCATAAATTCATGGCGTCGCATTCTCAACTCCGGACTCAGCATCATAATTTGTGAATACACCAAATCTACGTTCGACGGAGCATAACAACTAATTTGATAGTCCACCATAATACAATCTTCCATTTGATCCTTTTTATTGAAACGGAACATGATATTTTTCATATGAAAGTCACCATGGTTAAGAACGAAAATATCTCCGCTATTGCCCTGCCCCTGTTGATGGGCTCTATATAGATTTTTACTATTCTGATTGATTTTATCCTTCATGGCTTTAATTTTCTCAAAATATACATCGAACTCATCGTAGCATGATAGCGTATCAATAAAGTTACGCAAACCATTTTCCATTAATAGTTCCATTTGTGGGCTATCCACACTGAGAATGCCATATTGATATTTTGTTACCAACTCGTGTTGTTCACTGTGAGCCAACATATAGGAGACAGCATGTAGTTTAGCCAGTTTGGTGTAGACCGCTTTGATTTCATCTTCGTTGAGTAATCGGGACCGTATGGTGTCATAGCCCGAACTGCAGAGATCTTCAAAAATGATAACTTTTTGTGGTTCCAATGCATGATAGATGAGTCTGAAAAACAAACAGACGAATATTAAGGATTTTTTAAATTTTAAAGCCTACAAGGCTTTAAAATTTAAAATTTATTTTTTAAATATTTTTTTCAAGGCCTAGAAAGGCGTGGATTTTTTCTTAAACTATACTTTGAGAATAAATATTTTACTTACTCTGCTGATAATTTCGTTGGTTCTCCACACTCGGCCAAGATCTTTTCAATTTTTGGCAGTGTCTCAGAATACATACTGATTTCTGTTTCAAACAAACACGATTCCATTAACATTTCACGTTTGGGTCCCTCTTCCATGGGTAAAGTTTTTATAATCATTGATTTCTCTTTGACGCTGGCATTTCTATCGAAACGATATTGAACCTTGCAACGGAACATAATACTGGCATAATGATCACCTTTCATGCTGGCTGGACTCAATGTAAATTCGACGACCTGTAATGACAGAAAATATAACAACAACAACACAGGATTAAATCTGACTTCTTTGCAACAAAATTATTCCCAAACAATTTCAAAAAATAAAATGCCGAAAATTCTATTTGAAAATATTTAATTTTATCTCCATTATTTTTATGAATCATTTTGTTGTTGTTGTTTTCAAAACCTACCTCAGCATCAACATTATTTTCATACTGAGTTAAAACTTTTTCCAAAAATTCTTTGTTAATCCATGGTGGGGGTACCAGTTCATCGGTATTGTAGATACTCATTTTGATGTCGGACTAATAAAAATTAAACTCCGTTCTCTACAAACGCTTATTTTGTTATGAAAATCTTCCTGGCGTAGTTACGACCTTTTATTGGAACATTAGCAGATAAGGCTCCCTTCTAAAAATCTAAGTGTCACTTATAAATAGTTAATGATAAGAAATCATTCACATAACATACACCCTCTACCAATAACTATGGAAAGCGATTGTATTTCGCTTTATCGATAAACCATCGATGGCAAAATTTAATGCAATACTTCTCTTACTAAAATGATACCCTTTCTCTTTGGAGATTCAAAACAACTCCCATCTGGGAATCCTACCATAAAAAGTCGATTTCCTCAATCGTATCCACAGATCAACGTCACTAACCTTTGTTACCTTATAGATAAGATATCGTTAACATTCCCATTTCCTACCGAATCATGCCCGATACTACGTCAATAATTACTCGCTTTTTCACAAAGAAAAAAATATTTGTCTTTGTAAATTTTAAATTTTGTTCTTGATAAACAAAATGGCCTACCATGTGGCGTCGAATTCAATTTGATATACCTGCCACCTGCCATTATCCAAAAGTGGACAACTTTATTATTGATAGCAACAATTCTTAAGATTAAGTGATTGCAGCTGTAAACTTTTAAAGTATCGCAATTTATGAACATGATTCTGCAATTTTCAGCCTTAACATGTTTTAAAATTTTGAATTGATTTTTGGTCGCATGCCAAATAACATCACATGTTCTAATCATTTGAGATAACAACAAATGGTGGGAACTTAACATTCGTACCTCCTAGAAACCCATAAACATCATATTAGCAACGAACTTAATCTATATACGAAACGGCGACGAAACAGCTAAAGCTAGAAACTTGAAATTTGGCATGTAGGTCCGGTTTGGTGCGTAGGCGTGTGATAACGCTGGGTTTTGGGAAAATCGTACTAAAAGGGAATGGTTAGACGTGAAAGTCTGAAATTTGGTACGTAGCTTTGTATACGACGAGCGAAGTGGAATGAGTAAAAACGAAATTGAACTTTAGTACTACACTAAGAGGTACTAAACATTATATTTGAATGGAATCGGTAGAGATACACGTATGAAACTTGATATGGAGCTCAAGCTATTACAATTAGAATGATGTGCAAAACTATTTTTTACAAATTAGTACTAAATGGTAATGCAGTTTACGCCGGAACGGTTGGAACTACAACTCTGAAATTTCGTATGTAGATTTGTCAATAATAAGCAAATCAGAATGTTTGAACAAATTTTAGAAATTAGTACTAAAGTACTAAATATTATACTACGATGAAACAGGTAGGGATAGATATCTGAAATTTGGTATGTAGCTTAAGCTATAACAAATAGAATGATATGCAAAAATATTCTTTGGAAATTAGTACTAAAATGGTGAAATTTTTTATGCAGCTTGATGAACAAATCAGAATATTCGAAGCAATTTTTGGAAATTTGTACTAAAAAGTACTAAATATTTTACTACGATGGAATAGTTAGGGATAGATATCTGAAATTTGGTATCTAACTTATTACAAATATAATGATGGGCAAATATATATATATATATATTTTTTTTTTTGAAATTGGTGGTGATAAAAAGTACTAAATAATGAAATACAATGGAACTGGTAGAAATAGAAATCTGAAATTTAGTATGTAGCTTAATCTATTGCAAATATAATGATAATCATAATTGTTTTGAAATTAATACTAAATACTGTAGAATAATGGAATAATGGAAGAAATAGACATCTGAAAAGCGGTACATAGATTTAACTATTACAAATACTATGCTATACAGTAATATATTTTTGAAATTAGTACTAATTAGAACGACAGAAAGAGTAGAGGTAAAGTCCTAAAATTTTTTATGTATATTTAGCTATAAAAAATTAAAAGAACGTTTTTTTTCTTTTTTGAAAATTTGTAGTATAAAGTACGAAATAGGAAAGGTTAGAGACAGATATCCGAATTTTAGTATTGATCTTCCCTATAAAGGCAGGTCTCTGCATAATAAATGATGCGATGTGCAAAATATTATATTACAAATTAACCTTTCTTTTCGAAAGAAATGCGGAGTAAGATCTGAGATTTTCTTAATAAAGGTATAAAACCTATTATTAAAATATTTCAAATTTATACTTAATCGTAAAGTATATTTTGTAGCTAAATTAATGTTTATTAATTTATTTCAACTATAAAAAGACTCGCTAGCAACGTAGCGGGGCTATGCTAGTATTAATTAATCAATGAGTTCTACAAATAGCACACATACAAAATTATTCGCTTATTATTATTATTATTGGTCGGGTACTTTTTATGGCAATTATGTCAAATGAAATGGCGACTATGTTGGAAAATGCTCATAGGACAATCGATATGTCAAAATTGGGCGATGGCTTAATACAGGAGGAATGCCAAAACATAGGCCTATATATCTGCAAATATATTTTCACGTTCTAAAAATCCGGAATACTAAATTGCAATTGAAGAACGCGTCTAGGACCCTCGCAATACCCGGCAGATATATTTTCACCTTTCAAATGTCAAATTACAGGCACGCCGTTTAAAAATTCGGCTCACTTCGATTGGAAATGCGCTTAAAAAAATAACCGTTTAAATTTTCCTAATATCAAAAGTTATTTCAACTTTTCCAATACCTTGATTTTCTGGGTCCATTTGACCCGCTAAATATTGACCGATTATCATGAAAAGATACATGCTTTTTCCTTGGTCAGATCCCTTTAGCGATCAGAAAAACAGACAAAAATAAAGTTATGGGTCATTCACTACTAACAACAATAGGGGCCTTCTTTGATCCGAACGGAACCTACATGCAAAATTTCGTGAGAATTGGTCCATAACTGTGGCATGTACGATGTTTACAAATTCCTCAAAACCTCAAGAGTTTGAAACGCCGCTAAATACCCTTACACCACAGTTGTGTAGAATAAAATAAAAAAACACACAACAAATTATATTTTAGTATGAAAACATTTATAAAAATATTTATTTTTTTTTACTTTTTCTTGTAAAAAAAATTAATGAAGAAATACAGTGAATATGAAACAATTCACTAATTTAAGTACATAGTAATAAACATACAATTATTGTCAGATTTTATGAAAATAGCAAAAAATAGTAATATGGATATGCAAAATACATAAATTTATAAATTATATAAATAAAAAAATTAAAAAAAAATAATATGATGAAATAAAAATAATTTGTGATTTTAAAATCTCATTAATTGCAGAAATCACCAATTCTATTCAGCTTTTGCAATAAGATTATAACGTTCAGCCGCCTTTAGGCATTCAGCTGCCAATTCTCTTGCTTTGGCACGTTCATCATCGGGTAGCTGCGACAAGCCACTTAACAGTTCCATAATATCCGTTTGCAAAAGTTCTTTAGCAATATCTTCACCAGCATTAATCATATTCAATATCAAGGCGACACCACGATGTTGTACCGCCGGGCTGGGATTGGCAATGAGAACATGTAAAATTTCAAGCCAATTTTTAATTTGGAATATTTTCTTAATGCATTTCTTCGAACTGGAACTTAGGATGGCCAAGGCACCCGAACAGGCTTTAACAGTTTCTTCATCTTCCAATTCGCAGAGTAAAGCTAAGAATTTCACACGATCATTGTCGCCTTCAAATCGCTTAATTGCCTCATCAGACATAACCATATTGCACAGACATTGGGCAGCAGCTCTAGTCAACAGTTCATGATCTTCCATAAGATAGAATTCAATTTTCGTCAGACCTTGTTCTTCCAGGATACGTTGTCGAACACTTTCGTTCATAGCAGCCAAATTTGTAAGGGCCATAAGAGCTTCGAAATTTTCCAGAGCTGTACACTCCTGTGGCAATAAATTCAACAGTGGTCTGATGACATCCAAACTTCTTTGTCCAGCAAAGGCTACTTCAGGGTTTATGGTAATACCAATACGTGCCAGGGCCTGGGAGGCATGACGTTTACCTTTATCAGTACCCTCCAAAGCCAATTTGAGCAGACACTTCACACCACCATCCTGAACCACTTTGCCGCGTAACTCTTGCAAACTGCAAACAGCATTGAGTACCCGAGCAATCAATTCACGGGAATTGTTACTCTCCGTTTTGGACAAAGCCACAAGGGCGGTGGTGATGCCCTCGTTGGCCAAAACTGCAATACGCTTTTGAACGAAGTCGTGATCATCCAAATCATGTTCCTCGGGTATATGAACCTTGGCAAACTTGGCCAGTTCAATCATTTCGGGTAAGATTTCCTGTTTCTCGTAGGCATTGCACAGATTCACAAAAGTCGTGACCACACCATACAAACACGACTGATCTCCGGTGCGGGCCAAATCGATGAGGGCATGAATGGCAGCCTTATCCTCAATTAATTTCTCCTTGACCTCGGCATCTAATGTCAAATAGGCCAAACCATCGGCAGCCCAACGGCGAATATCCTTATCCTTGCCAGGTTTAATGAGGAAGCGGCGACAAGCTTCGGCCAATTTTAGATTGGCACCATCAGCGAATGGGCGAATGCCGGCATCTTCACCACCATAACTGCCAATTTTGCAAAGGCCCACCAAGGCACGCACACGAATACCATCATCCTTAGAGTGATAAAGTTTCTTGAGAATATCAACACCTCCGGTACACAGGGCCTTTGCTTTGTCCTTCTTCGAGGCAGCAGCGTAGATACATTCGCAGGCAACTTTTTGTTGTAAAACATCATCGGTGGTGGCCATGGCCAAAATCATTTGCAAAATGCCATCTCTGCCAATGATTTGATTACCAACATCCAAAGGACCCAAGAGTAGAGATGTAATGGCGACAGTTACTCTCACCTTGGACTCTAATTCAGGATCCAATAGCTTATCCTTAATATATTCATCAATTTGTTCCATAAAGCGGGCACGAGCCTTATCGTGATACATGTTTTCATAGATGCGCGCCAAGCAGACAGCTGCAATGGTACGCGAAGAGGGTGTGATATCCATGGCACTTTCATATTTGTATTCCTCCAATTCAGAACAGACATCTAGCAAACGGCAAAGACCTCTAAGTTCTACTAGACGTTCAGCCCATTCCAGAGCAGTATAGTGGACATTACGTGTTAACAATTCGATGACAGCATCACGTGCAGGTCCTGAAATTGTGCGATCTGTAACACTGTACAAGAGGCATGACAACATGGTATCGATTTCCTTTTGATTCGCCTGAACCAATTCCTTATTTGGTTTACTGTCGGGTTTTATGTCCATGCCGGAAAGGGCGTTTAGGATTGTCTGTAAGCAGTATTGTGCCGCAGACACACGTTCCTCATGCTTGTGATCGAGAACACGCATAAACCATGGTACACCCAGTTCTGTTAGTACACCCTTCGTGCGTTCCACTGAATTGTTACACAATTCCGCCACAACACGAACGAAATTTACATAAATATCAGCATTTTTTTCGACTTTTGTAATTGAAGCTATTTTCTGTACACAGCCTGCCTTGTACAGCATATCAGCACCAACTTCATCTTTAGCCAAAACTAAGAGGTTATTTACCGCCGAACGACGCTTATCAATTGGTGTTGCCATTTCGAAACCCAATTCCATCATTTGTTGCACTTTATTCGAAGTCTTGGCATTTTCGGCAGCCTTCTCTTGTACAATCAAATGAAGACGTTTCAGCATAGGCTGTACCGATTGGTTACCGGGGTCAGCTTTAAATAAATCTGTAGCATCTTTGTAAGCTTCAGGATATTTTTTCAATCCTTCATAGGCTTGAGCTCTTCTGAACAGCGCCTTTGGATCTTTGGGTGCCAATTTCAGTGATTCATTACAATCAGCCAATGCCTCTTCCCATTTGGATTCCTTCAAATAGGCCTGTGCACGATTTTTATAGAATATCGGCAACTCCTTGTGTTTGTCGCCCTTCTTTATGGCCTGTGTATAGAATTTAATGGCCTCCTCGTATTTGCCATCTTTGAATGCCTGATTACCTTTGTCTTTATAGGTTAGAGCCTCCGCCCCTTGCTGCTGCTGATCATCTGTTGCATTTGAACTCGTCATTACGTTGGATTTTCAATATTTTTCACTTTTCGTCAATTCTACAAAAACAAAAATACTGTAAATATCTTATTTTCGTTACAATTTGTGATTTTATTATCTTTATGAGTCACGAATTTCGTAGTTATTACCAAATGTGATTGCTGCAATTGTACCTTTTATAGATTTTCCTCGTCGCACACACAAAATACACTTTTCTTGTCGTTGTGACCCGAATTTTCTCGATCTCCCACGATCTTTTCAGAACAATTGAATTGCATGTAAGAATGAGTAAAGGAAGAATCGAACCGAACCGATCGGAGGAATTTTCAAAATTCTATTTTTAAACAACAGATGTGAAAAACTTTTACGTTTTTGTTTTGATTGCTTTCTTCGCAATGCTTTCACTGCATTGACAGTTGTCTTTATTTCTCTTTTGTTATTTGTTAGGGTTGCCAATGTCGATCAGGAATTAATAACATGTTTAAATGTTTGTGTGGTAAATTGGGCTTTATAAGAAACACATTTTAAATCAAATACTTTATAAAAATGTTTGTAGGATCTCAAATAATTATGTTCTACAATGTTTTTATATATTCTATATTATATAATTGTGTGAAATATCCTTTTTTCTTGCTCTATCGTGATTGCACTTATATTAATTGTTATAAATTTTATTTTTACTTTATATTGTTTAGATTTGAAATGAGGTAACAATGTTTTTTTTACAATTATTATTACTGAAAACATAATTTAAAATGTACAGGCCAACACTGGCAATGGCATGTGGATAGTGCCATCTATTTAATGACATGATTGAATATCGCTAAGCAAGGGCTGAAAAGTCCCGGACCTCTCATGCCTTAAAATATAAAAATGTTTTCATAATATACGGGGATAGAAATTAATTGTGTAGAATTTATATAATTCCAATGAATTTTTTTTCCCAAATTTGTTCAATATACAATCGTATCGCATATCAGTTATAAATAAGAATCACGAAAGTCTCGAAAAAATTGTGTAATTAAATTATGTATGTCCTTTGATTATATAGCCCTTAGTTTAAGAAACAACGTCTCCATTCTGCACAAATTTAAACTAATTTATAGTACGATTACATTTAACCGGATTTCGTTAACCCAGTGGGTTTCAATTGTCAATTCCTTTGCATATATGTCAAATAAATCCTCATAAAGTAGGTTAACCCGGAAAACTAATGTAAAGAAATAGAAACCTAGGGCAAGATCTGGAGAATACGGTGGACGAAAAAGTAATAGAAGTCGTATTTACGAATTAGCCATCATTTTCTGCGCAAAATTATACCCCTTGAACATTCATTACAGATCTGAGAACAAGAAATAATCGCTGGAGCAATATCTGGAGAATATGGTGGATGCGTAAGTAATTGGAAGTCATATTTATGGATTATTTGCAACGGTTGACTTCTGACACGACAGTGCATTGGCTTGGTAATGCAGAAATAAGCATAACAATTTAAAAATCCACAAACATATATATTTGTACTAATTTATATATTTGTAATAAATTTATTTTGAAAACGAGTATATGTTGAGGTTGCACCACCATTAGAAAACTGCCGGAGCTGCGAAGAAAAATAAAAATGTATACTAAATGTATTAATGTAAGTGTAAATTTAAATATTATGATTGCACTATAATATAGGATAGATAAAAAACATAGTAAAAACAATTATATGAGACCCAAAACATAATATAAATTATAGATTATATGTTATTTTTTAGAAAATCTCATAATCATATCTCAATCTCATCACTCATAAATTTCAATAGATAGTGCCATTCACACGTCTATGCCAGTGTTGCCATTGTACACAAAACAAATAACCGATTACTCAACCAAAATAATCTCGCAACTTGGCAACTCTTTTTGTGTGAAGTGTAATCAAAACGTCAATAAGATTGATTCTCACATATATATTTTTGTATTTTACCTTTGATTAACCTGATTTTTTGTGTGAAACTTTAAGAAAATGTTGATTCTTTAAATAAAATACCAATTAAAAAAGAAGGTCTCCCGAGACCATTGAGAAGCAGTTAGCTATCAACAAACCATACAAACAATTAAGTTAGTTGCCTGCTAAGAAAACGTAACGTTCTAACAGCCCAACTAGCCAAGAGACAACAAAAAAACTACGGACAAACACGGGTAAGAGAGAATCGAATGTAAACACCACGTATGCAAAAGAAGATTTCCGTACACCAGAATGTGTTCCTAAATAACGATTAAACCCCTAATTGTTTTATAATTACAGTTATTAAAAAGCCATGACCATGCTTCCACTAACACATAGAGATCGCGGAAGTTTCGTCTACCGCATTAAAGAGACACTGAACAGTTGGAAACGTTTAATATTCTCGGATAAAAATTCTAGGAACTTATTTCTGTTCCTTATGTTAAATTTAAGTTTTGCATTTGTTGAACTGTTCTACGGCATATTGACCAATAGTTTGGGTAAGTTGTGTGTGGCTCAGAGTCAGATAACATAATCACAATCTTATGTGTAGTTACACTTCTAATTTGTCATGATTATTTATTGATAAGCTAATATATTTTACTTTGATTTTCATAGGTCTTATATCGGATTCATTTCACATGTTCTTTGACTGTACGGGCTTGTTGGCGGGTCTGGCAGCATCAGTGATTACCAAATGGAAGGCTAATGAACGTTTCTCTTATGGCTATGTGAGAGCAGAAGTATTGGCTGGTTTTGTTAATAGCCTGTTTCTAATATTTGTAGCATTCTTTATATTGTCCGAGGGCGTAGAACGTCTGATAGAACCACCAGAAGTTAAGCATGAACGTCTGTTTGTGGTATCTGTATTGGGCTTATTAGTCAATTTGGTTGGCATTTACGCCTTCAATCATGGCGGTGGCCATGGACACTCTCATGGTGGTGGTGGCCATGGGCATTCGCATGGTGGCGGTGGTCATGGACATTCTCATGGTGGCAGTAGTAGTCATTTATTGGATTCAAATGGTCATCATGCTATATCAATGGATGATGGTAAGAAAGAAAATGAAATTTGTTTCAGTATTATATGTATTTTTTGGAGTGGTATACACTCAATATGACTCGAGAAGGCCTAAAGATCTACTCTATACGATATTAGAAAGTTATTTTAGAACTCCGAATGAACATTAGACCTCATAAAATGTATACTTTTGGAAGACTTATAGGCGAACAGAATTACGTATTGCAAAAGAAAAGGACATTTTTTAGAAGAATTTCACTTATAAAAACCAGTAGGCTTCCTTATAGACGAAAATACGACAATAGGAAACCATAAAATTATATTTATAGGGAATCTAGAAAGTCTTCCAGTAGGAATTTATATATTTTTTTCCTATGTTCATCTCATAGATGATAGGCCATCGTCAAAATGAGGAATTTATGTTTTTTTATTAGGGGTAGTTTCATTTATATAAGACCCCAAAATCTTAACAAAGAATCTATACAATACCGCTCTTTTATAAAATCCACATATTCTTATTTTTATGTAACCCTTTCTACTGAATGAACAAGGAAATGACAATGTTACGAATTTCATTACATTTTTTTGAACATTTTCTAAATATCTACTTCTTTTGTTACAGGACATGGCCACTCACATTCCCATGGTCATTCACATGGCGATGACCTATCCGGAAATGGCAGTAATTCACAAATTATGCGTGGTGTCTTCCTACACATTTTAGCTGATACGCTCGGTTCCGTTGGTGTCATTATATCGGCAGTATTAATGCATTTATTCGGTTGGATGATTGCCGATCCAATTTGTTCGATTTTCATTTCAGTGCTCATTGTATTGTCCGTGATGAGTCTGATTAAGGAATCAATATATGTGCTAATGCAACGTCAACCGGTTGCCTTAGATCGTCTACTACCTCAGTGCTACCAAAAGGTTACCGGCTTGGCTGGCGTGTATGCGGTGCAAGAACCACACTTTTGGACGTTATGCTCCGATACTTATGTTGGAGCTATAAAATTAGAAGTATCTAAAAATATTGATCCCAAATATGTTGTTACACATGCTCGTATGATTTTCGAATCAATCGGTGTTAAACAGGTCTACATACAACTAGATTTTGTGTGATAATTTTCTATACCAATTTGTACATAAGCCCTAATTTAAAAGATATTTACAAAACCCTCCCCCCAAAACAGGAAGTTCTTCTGTTGTCTTGTCCATCCATCCTATTCACATAAAACACTTCCTATATGCCCCCAACTGCTGGAAATTAGTTTTTAAAAACTATCTCTAAGTGTAGGAAATACCTATGTTTAAACTTGGCTTACAAGCTACTTCCCTATATAGAAACGATATTGCAATGTTTCATTTTTTTATTTAGTTAAAAGTTTTTGTATTAAGTTTTTATTTACATGCCAGTAAGCCAATTAATATATTTAATTTTTGTTGTATATTTATTTGTTTTAACAAAACATTGCTACACTAAACAAAAAACTATTTTATCATTCCACACATTTCTCAAATAAAACTGAAACAAAACGTTATATAAATAAGTAACACCAATACAAAAAATACAAAACTTGTAACAGCATGTGCTAAATTAGAACAAAAAAAAAACGAAAACACAAAGATCTTAATGAAAAACAAAAATAGTAATCACTATCATGGACTGTCTAATTTTATTACTACAAACAATCTAATACATTCATACATATTTAGCAAAAACAAAAAACCAACCTGTATTGTTTTACAGATAGAATAACAAACAAAACAGTTCAACGAACAGTTGCCCAATTATACACATATTGCTATTATAAAACAATACATATTGTAAAAAAATTGAAATGAACGAAAACTGTAAATATATGCGAGTCCTTTTTATGTTATTTTGTGTTTTTTTTATAATATACTCCTAGAAGACTTAAAGGTCTTACCAAAAAAGGCCAAATATTTTTTCTTATAAAATGTTCCGACTTTTTAGCATAAAAGTGTAAGTGTAAAGAAAAGCTGAATATGTTATGTTGAATATGTTAGAAATTATTTTATACTTAACCAGTGTATCTTCTTATAGGTAATTTTCTCTTAAGTAACAGACTAGAGGGTCTTCTCATAGAAGTCCAAAGGTTTTCTTGTAGAAGACCAGACATTCTTCTCATAGAAGGCTAGAAGGTATTCTCAGATGTTTTAAAACAAGCGAGAAGGTAATATCAATGAATACCGTGTGAATTTCTTATTGAAGATTAGGATATATTTTCATTAATGTTTTTTTATTACTTTGAAGCATATGAAAGTCTTCTTATATAAGATCAGAAGGTTTTATCATATCATACCAGAAAGTATTCGCATGTAAGAAGGTCTTCTTATAGAATTTCTGTTATTCTATTTTGGATGATCTTGTAAAAGAACAGAAAATTTGTTTAACAAGATAATTAGCTCTTATTCGAGGACACCGAAAGGGCTGTTTATAGAAGTCTAAAAAAATTACGTATAGAAGAACATAAGGCCTTCTTATAGAATACTAGAAAAGCTTATATAAGACTGAGATTTTCGTATCTAAAATAAAAGTTCTTCGTATATTTGACAAGATTTTTTTATTACTTTATATAGTACATATAAAAATTCTCTTTATAGATAATCGGACGGGTTTGTTATAAAAATCCAGAAGATTTACTTTTTTTTTTTTATTGAAGACGGAATGTTTTGTTATGGAATAAAAACCAAAAGATCTTCACATAGAAGATTACAAGTTCTTCGTATAGAATACCAGAGGCACTTTTTATAGAAAACTGAAGGTTTCCTTATAGAAGATTAATATGTATTCTAATCATATAACCTAACATAAGTACTAAAGTTAATATCTTCGAAAGTATATTCAATTGGCCTATCCATGAGACTCTGCGAAAGTTAGAAGTCTATATATCGGCATTTCGCCGTCATTGGGGGCTCCAAGTACCACATTTGTTAACAATTTGACCTGGCCTTAACTAGACTCAAGCCGATGATTTTTGGTGCGGGGATTTAAGACTTTCGCCAATAAACAGATAACAGCTCCTACGCGACTGAATCTCCCTTTAATTAGAAGAGTATTTAAGACTTTCGAAGAATATCCATTAAAAAAATATTGTGCATTATTTTTTATTTTTTCAATATTTTACTTGAATTACATAGAATCTGTATGCAAATTCAAACTCAAATTTACAGCTGTCCATGCTTTAAAAGCCACAAAAAGCGACTGAATCTCCCTTTAATTAGAAGAGTATTTAAGACTTTCGAAGAATATCCAATAAAAATATATTGTGCATTATTGTCCCTTAAAAACTATACCCATATTGTCTTGGCCAATAAAAAATATGAAAAATACTTAACGAATTTCACAGGAAGTATGATAAGGTTAATAAGATAGTTACATTTTTGCAATTCTCACTTCAGTCGCCCTTATTTGATACCCTTATTGCTTTAGAGAATTCTAAAAATTTACTCAGGAAATGTCGACTCCTTCGGTCTTAAGCTAAATTTAAGCCGAAGATTGTTGATATTTTTGACAAATCTATTACCAACATAGACACTATCATATTGTGATAAAAAAAATTATGAATTAAAAATATGTTTGATATCGCAATCTACATTCGAATGTATACCCTCCTCCATAACATAGATTCACCAACATATCAAGAAGGAGATATGACGATAACGATTCTACTAATATGGTTACTTCTTAACGGTCATCGTATAATTTTCCAACACTTTGGTTTAGAACAACAACCACGTCTAATTATTTTTTTAAACGTCGTCACACGATGGCCATCCACCTTTATCTACGAACACACGCACTCACACCCATGTTGTTTGTCCTCCAACAACAGGTAATCATGATTGTTCATTGTTGTTTGTGCCATTTCACAAACCCAAAAATTTCGCAAAAACAACAACCCACTCTAATGTCGTCTTTACAAAATTTTTGAGGTTATGTCTAGCTTGGCGAAAAAGAAATTGCAAAGAAAAATGCCCGAGAAACTGCATTAAAAAGAATGCAAGAAAATAGGTTATCTGTTTCGCCTTAACCTAAATCTTTTTTTAGAATACACAACAACACGTTTTGGGCGTAAGGTAAAGGTTCAACAAATCTTAGCTGACATGTCGAGAAAAGCAACATACCACATTTTCTCGCAGACACACACACAGTGACACTAACAAAAAGAAAAAATGACTCATCAAAAGTTAATTGATTTTTTCGTTCTTTATTTGCAAATGCGATTTTTTTCTTTTTTTCAATATTTTACTTGAATTACATAGAATTTGTTTGCCAATTCAAACTCAAATTTACAGCTGTCCATGCTTTAAAAGCCACAAAAAAGGTGAATTCATATATGGAAGTTTAGTGGGGGCATGGTACATTGTGCACCACATTCCAACAATATGTCCTCTGCCCCATCATCCACCACAAGATATAAAAGTTTTAGGTTGTCTTTTTTTGTTTTCCATATTGTTACTTGTTTTAAATACATAATTTTATTATAGTTTTTTAATCTTAAATATCATTTTTTGTTTTACATGTAAATTGAGTCTTATATTTTTTTCTTATTTTTCTCTGGTTTAAACAAATTAGGCAAACAAACAATTGTATCCAAAGAAAACATGGTCGTCCGGTTGTTGGTTGGTTGGCGTACTTAAATTATAAATATATATATATAAAATTGAAACTATAATTTAATGCGACTGTATAAAAAAAGAGATGTGATAGGCTGGCTGGCTGAACATTGTTGTTGAATTTCTTCTTAGCACTTCTCTTCTTCCAAACCATGTTTGAAGAACATCAAGACGGGCACACTTTCACCGTTGATGTCACGGTATTCGCACAAGGCAACCATACCGTCACAGTCCATGGATTCGCCGGTGAAGAATTGCAAATCCTTGAAGCGGCCCAAAATGTCTTTCATGACTTTGTTCATGTTGGTCTTGAAGACCTCGACTTGATCGGGGGATTTCTCTTCCAATTTGGCCAAGACCTTCTTCATGTAGTCCTTCAAGTAGATGGTGTAGCTTTTCTTGTCGCCGAAGGCAAAGCATTCTTGCAAGCGGTGGTTCATGACAACATCGACACCAGTTTCAACGGTGGTCTCAGTGCCTTCGTCAGCTTCTTCGGCCGATGGATTGAAGCCCTCAATTTGAATATCGCCCTCGGAGCGGGAGACAACTTTGCCGTACACCTCATACATGACTTCATCGATCAATTTCATTTTGTAGGTATCGGCGAACATCTCGTCACCGGTGATGATATCCTTGTAGATTCTCATGTTGGAGGTGTTTGGTTTTGTTTTTTTGTTTCAGTAGTAGAAAGGTAGAAAAATAAAAATTCGTTTACGGGTCGCACCGAGAGGACAAAAATTTGGGAATCCGGACCGACGTTTGCCACGCGCTAAATTCAACAGCGAAAAGAAAGAAAAATGCCTCCACATGCTTGAATGGTGTCAAATGCTTGAACGATAGGGGTGTAGTGTTGCCAATCACCTTGGCGAAAAGGTAGTAGATGAGAGGATAACACGAGGTCATATGAAATTAAATGACGAGTAAATGTGGATGAAATACGGGTTTCGGTAAAGGGTAAAGATTGTTATGTGTCACTAATAAAACAATTTTATTGAGAGGTGAATACTTATTTAGTTTAGTTCGATTAAATAATCTGGGTTAATACAACTGTGCCATTTGCCAACCGCATAAACTCTCCACGTTTGGTCATCAAGCATATTTGTAATAGATTGTATGGGAAACTGTGTTGTCAATAATTGAAATAATTTATATACATTGCACAATAAGAGTAGTGTATATTGAATTTGGTAGCTTGCCTATGGTACATGAATATAAGATAGGGCAACTTGAAATGAAAAACGAAAAAGCAACTATGTAGATAGAGTCTTATTCTGTCAAATATAAAATAAAAATACGCAACAACTGATTGTGTTTATTTCAAAATTTTCAACAAATAAATAGAAACGTGAAAATGAATGGAACGTTATGAATTCTTCCCAAAATCCGGTAGGAAATACCATGCAATGTTTATTCATCCATAACAAAGTAATTCCAGACAAACGGGGTAAAAATTGTTTTCATTTCAATTAATGGTCTCTTCCCGTACTGCAAGAATCTACAACACTTTACTACGATAACAAATGTTCCTTTATGATCATGGTATAATAATAGAAGGTAACAGCAAGTGTTGTTGTACCACAAACGATACAACAACCACATGGAAATATGTTGTTGTAAGTTATACTAGTGTCAACGTCATTTGACAGAAAAATGTAAACAAACAAAATAAATATCAATAAATTATATTTAAAAACATGAATGAAAATCTATAAAATTTATATTTCTATCGCTTCCACATATTTCCTATAATTGAGCCATTGCCACTTATATGTGTAACACATATGAAAATGCAGATAATTGCGAGTTATCCCATGAAGAAAGATTTGCTTCCTCAAACTTTCCCAGCAGGCAGATTGAGTACATTGAATACATTAGCACATTTAATAATGAAAAATTATAATTAGAAAAATTAGAAATAGTATGCGTTCCCAATTTTCCTGTTGGGTGATTTTTAAAAACATAATTTGTCAAATTCATATGGACACTAGTATTACGTTAGAATCAAATCAGCTGGGATTTGCTGTTACCTTTTATAATTGTACCATGCTTTATGATATTGAAAAACTAGTAGATTCTTGCAGGCCAAGGTTTATATAAGGCCAGCCAGTAAGCGAACTCATAGAGAAAACTTAAGTTTAACGTCAATTTTTTTGCCGAGGCGAAAACTAATTGTTTCGCATTAAAAAAAAAAAAACAATCCAAAACACAACTCAATTTATAAATTGTAGGATAATTTAGTTGAAAATCTTCTTTAAACTTTTGAAATAGTCCAAATGTTCTTCACAAAGACGATATGAATTGAAATTGAACTGGACGACCTTATTTCATTTGAATTTATTTGACATGCATTCAAAACAATACACACAAAATATGTATTTGGATTTATAAAATCAAGCCACCTTTAGAAAAAATTGTATTCAAATGTTAGCTATGCCCCACCTTGTTATAATTATATCATGGTTATGCCCTACCTTGCAATAATTATACCATCGATAGACTCACATTTTGTTGTTGTTATATAAAATAATATCGGTTCTGAGACGGTTTATGTATGATCATCTGTTTCTCCATACATATTTGTGAACAAAGTACAGGTTTCAAATTTTTACCAATTGCGATGAAACTCATTTTTTATCCCAATTGAAATCGGTTATATTTAGATATATGCATGGTATAATTATTACAAGGTAGGGCACGGCTACCAACTGATTACAATTTTTTCTCATGGTGGCTTGTTCCATCAAATCAAAATACATATTTTGTGAATGTGTGTGTATTGTTTTGAATACTATGTCAAATAAATTCAAAATAAATTGAAATATATTCAAATTTAATAGAAATGAAAATTATGTTACAACAATTTAAACGAAAGTATTTAAATTGTCATATTTGATATAAATATACTCTGGAAATAGTTCTATCATTATTTATTTCACGTATAACATCCAAAAATGTCACATTTCAATAATAAATAAAATAACCGCCCTTCACACAATTTAAGTCACGTTACGTCCATAACTAATTAACCCAACAATGTTATAATCATATTGTAATAGATTACTCTTAGAACAATTCTCTATTCAGTGACAACACAAACACATTTGACACATAACCGCTTAATAAGAAGAAGAGACAGTCTTCAGGTATTTTTCTATCGTAAATATTTTTCTGTTGTGCTGAACAAAATGTAAGTTTTTTTTTTATACAATTCAAAATAAAATTATAAATAATAATGCAATTTCGTTTAGGTACGCTATCACACGTTCCTTGGTTCGTTCACCAGCCCTTCGCCAAGGCCTCCAAATGGCCCAGGCTCAAAATCTTAGAGAAGTTTCGATGAAAGTGGTACCTGCTGCCTCAACAGTCAAAAATGAAACTTTCTTCGATAAGAACAATCGCCTGCAACGTGAAATGTCTCCCCATTTGACAATTTACAAGCCCCAATTGACCTCCATGTTGTCCATTACCCACCGTGGTACTGGTATCGCTCTTACAGCTGGTGTTTGGGCTTTGGGTTTGGCTGCTCTTACCTCACCCCAAGACATTGCCAACTATGCTTCGGTCATCGAAGGCTTGCAATTGAGCGCTGGCACTTTGACTGCCTTGAAATTTGTGATTGCCTATCCCTTGGCCTTCCACACAGTTAACGGTGTCCGCCATTTGTTGTGGGATACTGGCCGTTTCTTGAAGATCAAAGAAGTTTATTCCACTGGTTATGCAATGGTTGGTGTTTCATTCGCTTTGGCTGCCATTTTGGCCATGCTGTAAACGAGCGAGAACAGTGTAGAACAAATTTATACAACAGACAAAACACAGAAAACATGCAATGTGGCATCTTAAACGATAAATAAATGTTAAGTTATAAAGTTTTTTTCCTATTTAAAAAACATGAAACTTTGTTTTGATTTTTTTCTTGTTTCCTTTCGAGTGGTTTTTCATTTGATTATGCAATCATTGATATGTGATTAAATTGTTGTTGTGCGGGCTTTTGTTTACAAACCGAATGTTTGTAGATATAATTGATGTCTGATGTTGTTTTGGATTGTTTGGGAATACATTTTTGTGTGGTTTTTTAGATGTATTAGATACATGCCAGGTAGTTGAAACTAATTTGATTGTTGTAATACTGTAGTTTTAAATGCATTTTTTTGATTTTATACATGCCTAGTTACAACTGTACAATTTAGTTTTACTATAACTAGTTATGTCAGCCTTAAGATAAATTAAATTTGAATATCTAGATAATTCCTTTGACAGTGATTCGGGCAATTTGGGAACTGAGTATATAGTGCTGCGATCTTTATTTATCCATGTTGAAATTATATGGTATTTTAGTTGTATTAGAAATTGTTTAAATTTAAGATTTTTAGATCTGATAGCTCTGGAAAATTGGTTATTCATTGAAAATCCATGGGCGATATACTCTGTACAATTTTTTCTAAATTTATTTCAGACCGTTATGCTAAATTTGTTTGTATTCTATAAAAATCCACGTCTATTTGTGATTAAAGTTCCACGCTTTTAGGTCTGAAAGTCTATAAGAAAAAATATTCTTTAAAAATCCATAAAAAAGTATTCTTAAAATCAATACGGCAAAACTAAACAAATAAATATATTTTGTTAAAATCTTCACAAAATCTATGCTTTGATTGTTAAAATGCTTTTAAAAAATATAGTATTAATGAAATATTCCTTAAAATTGAATCAGATCTTAAAAAAACTTATATCAGTGTCCGTTTTATGTCCGTTCTTATATTTCTGATATTTGTTTTTTTAAAATAGTAGTCCTATTTTAAAAACAAATAAAATCCTATTAAAATGTAAATTTTTAGCTCTGTACTGGAATTTTTTTTTCTTTCATTAAGTTATATTTAGTCTTTAAGAATGCTACAACATACTACCAGGGAGGATTTGAGAACAGTCAGATAAGTAGCATTCGGCAGCTTCATAGATTGCCTTCATTAATTAAATTTTTCTTCTTTTCAAGAGAAGCAGCTCATTATGCTAAATAAATAGATATCAACTTCATCATTAGCAGACACTTTCTTATCAACGGCCGGTTGCGTTAACCTTTCAAAGTGCGTAACACATGGATGTAAATCACACTGTTCCCCTCCTACTTTTGTTGTTTATTCATCCTTGACCCCTTCCACTATTAGTCAACCAAGAGAAACTTAAGCCTTCCATCGTTACTAACACAGTTATGAAGAACACTGTTTCATTTGTAGGTGTCGGTGCCTACACATATTTCGAAAATGAATGTCCATTGAACTGAAGCCGTGTTACAATTTACCTTCTACGAAATAAAAAAGGAAAAAAGAATTTTTGGCTTATAGCCATCGTGTAGTAGTTAGTCCCCGAAGTCCTTACCTTAATAGAGTGCAAACAATGGTGTATTATAAATCTTAACACTTCATCCTTGTTGTCTTTGTTGGTGTTTATGTATATTTGTTGGTGTATGGGTTTTTTATTCCTTTTGGAACAATGCCTTTCACTTCCTACTTTAACTCGGTATGAGATTTACCTTTGTCTAGCCTTATTGTTTTCATGAATGGTGAAAAGATACTCGGCGTGTATCACATCCATGATCACGGAAACCATTGTCTGTTGTATCGTCACATATTTTAACATCACCCAATTTCCAAAGACACAACAGAAATACAGACAGACAAACAGAAAAAAGAAAACGTAACGAAAAAGAAGAGATGAAGTGAGCAAAACTTCAAACTTTGTTTTCCTTAAGTTTTAATAAATAAATAAGAGGATAAAAACAATGCTGAAGGGAACTGAGAAAATGCCACTTACGTTCGGGTATTGTTATATTTTGTTACTGGAAGACAGTGGGAAATACAAAATATGTACGCAATTCGGGGAAATGAAAAATTAGTATATGCTTTCTGATAATTTAATTCCAGAATAATCTTTTGGAGCACATTATATCTGAAAAACAAATTTATGAAATTGCCATCCCGGTTTTTTCTTTCATTTTACACCGATTTTACTTAATTTAATGTGAATTGCCGTATCTTGGCTTCACTGTACCACATTGTCGCAAATATTTTATTATCATTTTATCCACCATATTTTTATCTACGAAGGATAATACAAAAAGCACAGTTTTTAATTAGCTGTAGTAGTCTGAATAAATAATAAAAAGGAGTTTAAGGCGGATGTGGCACATTATTATTGTTGTTGTTGTTATTATTGGTATTGTTATAATACTTGTTTCTGTCGTAGCTATTATTAGCTACTATTTTAAGTTTCTTGTAACGTAGGTACCTTAAAATTTATATAGAGGAGTTGGTTTTATTATCTATTGTCTTTTTCAGAATTGCAATGAAGACGTGCAACACTTGAATACCACAGGATGAAGAGAACAATGGCAGCACAATGAATCAACAGATTGCAGTTTTTTTGAATATTTTCTTTAGCCAAAGGGGGGCCATTCAACTTGGTTATTTCTTCAACAAGGAGATTTAAACGAGGGGGCAAATTTAAATTGGTAAGATTTCTTGAAAACCATATCATACATAGTTTTAATAAATACAGAGCAAGTATTGTGGATTTTTAAAAAATAATTTTTTAAGCCAAATAATATTTTTTGAGGGCCATTACAGCCATAAGCTTGGATTGAAACAAAGGACCAAATTAAATATTTGTATACACTTCACCACACAGTGGTACAGGGTATGATGTCATTGTGCATATGTTTGTAATATGCAAAAGGAAACGAGATAGACACATGGTTCCTTCTGAAAATATGCATAGAATCACTTTTTAAGTCGATTTATGCATGTCTGTCCGTCTGTCTCTCTGTCCATGTTAGATTGTAAACAAATTACAGGTCGCATTTTTGATTCGAATTGGATGAAATTTGGCACAGTTCATTTATTTGACACAAGGACGAATCCTATTGAAATTGGGAAAAATCGGTTCAGATTTATATAGCTCCCATATATATCCTTATATAGCGCCTTATATCCTTCGATTTGCACGAAATGTGGCATAGCGTACTGAATTAAGTTTAGAAAGATGCGTGTTAAATTTCGTGAAAATCGGTTCAGATTTAGACATAGCACCAATATATATTTTCGTCCGATTTTATGTAAACGGTGCACCAAAGTCCCTATTTATCATTCGATTTGCACGAAGTTTGGCATAGCGTACTAAATTAAGTTTAGAACGATATGTGTTAAATTTCGTGAGAATCGGTTCAGATTTATATATAGCTCCCATATATATTTTGGAAATTTTGAAATTTGGATTTATAATTAAATAAAGAATTCAGAATGTGGAGGAATGCACAAAACATACTGAAATGAGTGTAACCTAACATGTGACAGACAAGTTTCGATGAAATCGGTTTAGATTTCCGTATTTTGCTTTAAATTTATTTACATAATTTTGTCCCATTGTAAGAAGCAACTCTATATCTGAATAAAATTTAGTATAGGTTACAGAATGACATGTTTAATTTCATGTTAATGGTCCTTCAAAAATGCCATGTCTGTTAGGATTCCATCTGTTGAATATACCCAAAGTGGTGAAGGGTGTCATATGGTCGGCCCCGTCCGACTTTACTGCTTTCCTGCGAAGGGTGTGTTAGTTTTGAAATAAACCCCTTACTTTTTGCGGTTAAATAAACATTCTTTACCCAAAAAGGAATTTTGTCATCAATTATCAATGACCGTTGTTGTTATTGTTTGGTCATTCAAAATTAAAAAAAAAACTTTCTTAGCTTATAAAAAATTAGTTTTATTTTAATTTTAAAAACATTACAAGTCGCCATAACCCTTCTTCGTGGAAAAGTAAAACATTCAATTAAGGGAACTTAACTTTAGATCTTTTGTTGCGATTAGAAATGACTGGCAGGTAGAAATGTTTTTTTTTTACTTTTTCCCAAAAAGCCAATTAACCAATTTTCTAAAATAGGAACATTCTTGTTCGTTCGTTCGGTTCAATTCAGTTTTTGTTAAAAACAAAGGTGAAGCGTATTTTGTATGGCCTGGCCGGGTGATCGAAAGCCACAATGGACTACCACGATGAACAACAGCAACAACGACAACATCATAATAATGAAACAAAACAACAATGGATTGAGCAGCTTGTCGATGAATTACTTACTGGTGGTGCTGCTGCTCCTGAAGCTGTTCTTCTTGTTGTTGATGCCATTTGCTGAATGAATTGGCTGGGAAATGGAGAACGTAGAAAAAAGTCAACAGCAACAAAAACCCCACCAACAATGAAGTAAAAGGATTGTTCAATTTCTTTTGTCTCAGGGAAACTTCAAAAGTACCCTTCAAATCAACTTAAATGATGTTAAGTAGCTCTGGTCATGTTCATTCATTGGTACTTTTTGTTGATGTTGTTGTATTGTGTGGAACACAATCAACAACAACATCAATCCCTTCATTCCCAATATAGCCTTTCTTTTCAATGGTTGCTGTTCTCTTGGGAGGGTTTATTTTTTAAACATCACCCTTCGTTCGCTATATAAAAGCGATTTGATTAACTAGCTAAACAAATATGTCCGAAAGTTTGGGTACGGACTGAATACCAAGAATTTAATTTCAATTAACATCTTTCATTAAAAATGAAATAGACAAACAATTTGTGTAAACATTTTTTCAATATTAAAAATCGACCTATATGGCTATAAAAGACCTGAAAGACCTTCAAAAATTTTTTTTTTTAAAAATCCAAGCCTAGTGTTCTGGTAGTCCTTCAGTCCTTGCAGTTTTCCCTAGCCCTTAAGTAGTTCGGTTTTTTTTTATA